GGCAACACTCTAACCTGCTAATTGCAGTGTCAAACTGTGACTGTAAAAACTAAATAAAACTAAATAAATGCCTATATAAGGAGGGACAGGACTCCCCTCCCCAGAATCCTAAATATAAGTAAGACACTAGCAGAAGTTATTAAGCTTTTAAGATCTGAGGACAGGAAAATAGTTACTGTCTATTTCTTTTCACACTTGTTTCTTTTTGTATATTCAGGGATGTTTTACAGTGAATTCTTATTGCCAGTAGTGGACATGAGAAGAAAAGCATGTGTGGTGTTCTAGGAACTGATTGGTAAATTGCTTGTTTAGCTGCTGATTGTATGGTCAATGGATACAACAGATCAGAATTTAGCTCTGACAGGCTTTTTCCACAAAGTATAAATGCAGGTGAGTATGAATTGAACAGTTGTGGTGCCTTTAAATGTCTCTGTTTTGTGGCTGACCTTGCTTTGAGTGTACCTATATCTTACTTTTTTAAGGTTATCTTTTTACATCTCATTTCTTTCCCCTCCTCCTCACTAATTCCTGCTTCCTATATTTTGTATTAAGGTTGACCATGTCCTCATGTGCTAATAAAATCAAACAGGTAGTCTTTGTTCCAGGTTTGATATAAATAAAATACAGCAGAATTCAGAGCATAGGACAAAGATGGCAACTTAAACCAGACACAGTCAGTAAATCACAAAATGATTTGGGTTGGAAGGGACCTTAAAGCTCATCCAGTTCCAAGCCCCTGCCATGAGCAGAGACACCTTCCACTAGAGGAGGTTACTCCAAGCCCCGTCCAGCCTGGCCTTGAACACTTCCAAGAATGGGGCAGCCACAGCTTCTCTGGGCACCCTGTGCCAGGGCCTCACCACCCTCATAGTGAAGAATTTCTTCCTTATGTCTAATCTAAATCTACCCTCTTTGAGTTTTATGCACTTGAATTTGGAACAGTAAGTTAAACAAGTCCATCAGGCCCACATCTCTGAACACAATTGTTCTGAGCAAGACTAATTTGTTAGGATAGATGTAATTTGATACATCAGTCACATAAGGAGAACAGAAGGCTGGGAATATTTATTTACTATGCTTCTAAATCAATATCTGGCTACTGCAAGCTCAGGTTTGCATGATTTCTTTTCTTTTTTTTTTCCCCTCTCTACAAATTCATATTAGGATATCTGAGCCAAATTAAACTGCTTCATAGGTAACAGATAATTCCAGTTCATAAAACTCCATTTCTGTAGAGTAGGAGGTAGGATTCAGTTCTCCTGAATGGAAATACCCATAGTTCAGACTATCGATAATTGCTCCAGATTATTTTTATTGTTATTTAGGAAAAATACATGGTTTTAACCCCAAATTCATGTGGTCTGTTTTAGGCTGAGATGTTTGGGATAATGCACATCACATCTCGGAAGTGATTGTTTTACTTCACTAACTATGAAGGGAACTAAATTTAGAGGAAGACAGGTATACAATATACTACTAATAGCAGATATATACAGTTTGAATAGAAATTGAATTCTACCCAGTTATTAAAAGACTATGAAGGGCATGTGGAATCATAGCATCAGTATTGAAAGTCAAGAAATACAAGGTACAGGAGTACACACTTAGAAAATGGTGATGCCTTAAGTGCTACTGATCTCATGGGACTTTCACTTGGAGATTCACCTGATTCTACAGGCCTATCTTTTCCAAAAACTACTCTGGGTTCCCCTCCTTGGAGGTACTAGATCAGTGATGACAATAGAGCTTGAAACACAATAAACCTGCTGAAATGCTGACGTCTTAGTATGAGAGAAATCTCTCCCAAGACACCCCTCATTGTCTCATCTAAATGTTTAATTCAGCTGGGAGTCTGCAGCTTCCTGACATGCCCCATAGTATCTTACCAGAGCTCCAGCTACAATTTGTAAGGGTGCAGGTCTTCTAAACATCCTTTGCAACATCTTTAGAGCTGTGAGGGTGTTTTTGACATCTTGGTTTATATTAAATGATGGCCAGTGCCTCCATATAGTCTGCTGCATTTATATTTTGTTCTCCACTAACCTAGAAGATCTCTTTCCCTCTGTTGGGATAACAAGCTCAGTCATAGAAAACTACATTTTAGATACATTCTTTTAGGTAGACATGACTATATTTTATGACTTCTTTCAAAAGTGTCTATGCACTGATTTATGAAGAAATGTATATATTTGCTTTTCCCTGACTTTATCTTAGACAATCACTAACGTAAGCATGTATACTTAGATATCATTGATACCAGTGTGAATAACTGGATACCTTTCAATAACAGGAACTTCTAAAAGACATGTATCAGTTTCAGCCAGGAAATATTTTTTCTTACTAATTATTTTTCTTCAGTTCTTTGCAGAACAGAGTGTTCCATGTTCCACTTCCTGGACTGTGTACATGTTCTATCTCACCAAGTGTCTCTAAAAAGGAAAAACATTACAGGATACAGAAACCAGAAATCTATGCCTCTGGTTTTTTTTTCTCATGGTCTCTTTCATGCAATTAAATATTCCCTCTTGCCTTTTCTTCCATTTAACCCTATGGTTCCTGCACATCAGGCTGTGGAGTGGCATGGCTGAGCTTCAGTGATACACGTGTAAAGCCCTCTCAGTAAAGATAGCTATGAATGGGTATGTAATATGCCCTCTGGTTATGTAGCCTACATTCATCTTTTATCAAGTAGTTTCCTATTTCATTTCATCTCCGAGGAAGACATTTCATTATAACTTCATGTTACAAAAAGGTGAGAAGCTGCTCCACAAGCAAGCTTGGCCATAGCCAAATCCAGTTATTTCAGTAATTATTATGCGTCAAGCTGCAATTACTCAGCAACATCATTTCCAAATTACTCTTCTTGCTGGGATTCTGTGATTTAAAATTGAGATTATCTTAATACTGCTTTTCATTTCTTCAATTTTTTTTCATTTGCTTACTGCAACCAGTCCAATAGAATGGTCCATGCAGGACTCACTGACTTGCAAATCAGATTTTCCTATTTTCTTCTACATTTTAACATGTTTTTCAGACTCACTAAATTCAAAATATTTATTACCGGCTGGACACTATTACAAGATGATCAACCTTCTTTCTGTGCCACCTACAATACCTCTCATTTACTAAGTGTATGAGAAGGCTAAAATACTTACGGAATTAATTTAGGACCGACACTTTTTTAAAGAATAAACAGCAAAAGTCCCCACAATGTTGTCACCTTTTCCCAGCAAATACATGTGGCCAACAAAAAGGCATTAATGGAAAACTTCAGTTCATATAGCCTCCTCTCATGTAATCATAAAATCACTGAATGATTTGGGTTAGAAGGGACTTTAAAGCTCACCTGGTTCCAATCCCCTGCCATTGGCAGGGACACCTTACACTAGACCAGGCTGCTCAAAGCCTTGTCCAACCTGGCCTTGAACACAGCTTCTCTGGGTAACCTGTGCTAGTGCCTCACCACTCTCACAAGAAAGAATTTTACGCGGAGATAATTATCTCTGAAGTTATTAACCATGCAAACTGAAGCTGAGCCCTTAAAACCCTTTTTATCCATGAGTAAGAAACAAATATTTCCAGATCATCGTTACATTTGAGACATGTGTGGTATCTTGGAGTCTGTATTGCTTTGGTTTTGTGTCTTTCACTATTAGTTAGAATGAAAGGGATGAATTTTCCACTTCCTTAAAAAAAAAAACAAAAACCAACCAACCAAACAAACTAACAAAAACTGCTCAATAAATCACTTATACCAAAAATCACTGTGTTCTGAGAAATGTTTGCTTGCTTTGTTTCCTGTTGGCCAGATTCATTTCAAATAACAGATATTCTCTGAAGCATCAGATGGGCAGAACTATGTCTTGTTTGATCCCAGCAGACTCTCAGAGGAAGACATCTTGGGGCTGGGGGTGGTGGGAAGTGTTTTTCCACATGAATATTCCATACATAAATCTTCTTTGTTTCCATACATATGTATTCCATACATAAATCTTTCTTTGCATCCTTCCATATTGTTGTTAACATTCACTTAAAACAGTCATTAGTTTATTTGTTTTCTGGGAGCAATCTGAATGAGGAGATGTAGCTTATCTATCTCATTGACCTGTATCTGATAGTTTCTCTTATTCTAATCTAACATTTTAAATGCATTAGATATGTTGCTTCCTAAAGGTGACTTTAAAAGTATTCTTCTAACTATTTATAAGAAAGGGAGATTAAAAAGATTAGCTCAAATGCAAATGCTTTTACTATTAAGTTGTCTCAGGAGTTGGAATGAATTTTACTCCAGGTTTCTTTTCTGGAGCCAGATCCTTGGTGTCCTGTAGTATAGATTTAGAAAATGTTCCTAGTAAATTACTAGATCTAACCTGTAGCTGAGGTGCCAATCTGTATAATGAGCAGCGCTATGTTTTACATTGTTCAGCTTTGCCACATTTCAACAAAGACTAAAGAGAGCATGAACACATGCATATATTTAAAACAAAGAGTAAAAAAACCCCAGAACTAGTACTCTTTATATAATTTCTTCTTCTGTGCTCTGTTTCTAGGGTGCTGATTTCTCTAAGGAAGAATGTATGAGTAATGAACTGTTTAAAAATTTAAAAGTTAAAAAAATATCCTTTTTTTATTTAAAAGCAAGAAATCAGGAAATTCAGAAACTTCCTATTTTGTAGGCTGTATATAAACATATTTAACTATTAAATTTATTTATGGGATGATTTGTCTGCAGCAGAACTGAGTAGTTACTGAAATGCCTCAGGTAACCACACAGACACAGTTATGTGTGTGCTTAGTCTACAGCCTCACTTGTTGAGCATTTAGTTGCTACTGGACAGAAAGCAAACAACCTGAACAATATTCATTCACAGTAAGTTTTAAACTTACAAGTCAGAAACATTGTATTATAAGTACACTAAACTCCATAGAGCCACTAGAAGGACAAGACCAAAGCAATCCCAGGACTGAGAAGTCTGTTTCTAAATCTAGCCTAGTAAGAGATGGGTTGGGTCTTTCTCAGCTGCTCCTCATCCCTCACCACTGCAGATCTGATTAAGCCACATTCAGCAGAGGCTTAAACTCAGCAATCAAGTCATCACAGCCCAGCAAATGAGGAGCAGTCATACTGATAGTCTGCAGGTCTGCCTTCAGAGTAGACCTGAAAAATCACCTGTAGGCAATGGTGCCTGAAATATCTCCTTTGTAAAGTGAAAGCAAGTATCAACTCTTAAAGACTGCAGCTGTGCCACAGTGGGCAGTGATTTAATCAGTATATCTTCTTGGACTGAGAGATTGCAGAGAAAAACTTGTGGTGAGTACTTGAACTGTGCGTTCCTTGAGGGTGGATTTGCTCTACCTGCTTCTATGCTAGCTGAACACACCTCATCTAGTTTAAAAACAATAGAGTGATATTTTAATGGTGGTGTAACCAGAACTTCCAATTTGCAAAGTTGTCTATGCCCAGCATCTCAACCCTGGTTGTGAACTGGCCTTAAAAGCAAAGGTTCCTAATTTCTGTGTTTATCTACAACTTTGCCTAGGCTACCTTTGTTTGTGTGGCATCTATCCCCATCTGACAGTAACTGTTTGGATTATTATCCTGTTGGTTGTCTCCCTAATAGTTATCTGGAGTGGGAGGGGAGTTGGGTTGGATGGAAGAAATTAATAACCTTCCTTTTTGTGAAACAAAGTTAGCTAAAAGAATGAGATCTGCAAGGTGCTTTGTACAGCTAAGAAAAAGATCTGTGCAAAGCCTGAACCACACAGATCAGCATCAATTTTTATCAAAGGCACTAGCTAAGCTGTCGTTATCTTCAGTGGAACTGAAGAATTGAAGAAATCGGAATTTTTCTTTCACTGAGTTCAAATCAGATTCTTCTTGTTCAGGTTTAACATAAGGGCTGGAAGAACTTCTACAGACAAATCTCTTAAGCTGATTTTTTTTAAAAGAAATTTCCATAGCTTAATCTTTAAAAAAAAATTTGCAGAACCCTGTGGATTTTTTTTTTTAATTAAATTACTCCACCCTTTCAGGTAATCCATGTGAAGAAGTGGGAATTGATGTGCTAAATTGGTCTTTGTAGCATGGTCCCGGACGTCAGGGTATTAATCTTTGTTTTCTTCCCAATTATTTTACCCATAGACCATGAACTGCAGCATATCTGACAGACATTCTTTATAGAACAAATTGATTTCACTATTTAAACAGGTGTGGCACACTTGCAGTGGTATTATTTCATTTTAGCAGTACAAATAAAGCTCAGGTGACTGTACCAAATTAATGAAAATTACTGAGTACAGTGAATAGAGTAAAATAATAGAACTATCTCCCAGGACACTGAATATCTGGAGGTGGTAGACTGCCTCTCCTCACAGTCAATAGAGATGCAGTTTTAACAGCCATGGTAGGCAGTTCATGAGGCTTTCTGACTGCGATAACCCTGGTCTCATCAAAGTTGCCACAAGCACCTCAGATAAGAAAGCACCTTTGCCCTTATCTCAGAACATGGAAGGATACGGGAGACTTTATCACAAGCAATTTCCTGCAGTGCTGCCCGCTATATAAATAAAGAACAAAAGCATGTGTTAGGAAGGAATTATAATCTGATATTAAAATGCTGGCAACAGCATATAGCTGCAGAAATACTGCAGAAAATAGGAAACAAAGAAATTATTTGAATTGTACTACAGACAGCAAATTTGACCCAGCACGAAAAAAGTGGTGCTCAGTGTGCAAGGCATCATGACCAAGGCAAGGATGAGGACAGGAGCTGCAAGACAACACTGAGGAGATGTGCAGATATTTCATGCTCACTGAAAGCCAACAGGCAGCATGGAAAGAAGCAAGACAGGTTGTGTTTAAATAGAGCAGAGTCGAACTTTGAGGACCTAAAGCTGTGATATTCCCTTATAAATGAGTGAAAGCAAAGATTCTGCAAAAAGGAAACTTAAACTGAGTGATGCTGCACGGGAGCAAAAAATCAAACACATGCCATGCATCTCTTCAGACTAAAGGGGGAAAATGTACACATCTGTGGCCATTCTTCAAATTACGCTTGAGCACACATGGAGTGAATTGTGTGTACACTAAAGTCTAGTCCACAGCCTTTTAGCCTCAATAAGATAATGCAATATAAATATTATTTAGCAAATGGAAATTTAGGAGCCACTTGGAAGAAAATATCACTGCCCAGTGTGCAGGTCATTCTGTGCATGCGCTGGCTTATGTCTCTGCCTCAAAATAACTATTTCATTCCTTTGTCAGAGCCGGAAAAGACAACTATAAAGCAACCACCCCTAAATTTAAGCTTTCATTTTGTGAACGCAGCATCAGCACTGCAGCTTGCTGATCACACTATAAGCATCTTGGCAAAGGCAAAGTTGAAGTGCTGCAAAAGGACAGGCCTTTTATCTTCTTTCTTTCTTTGCCCTGGAGACAAGCAAAAAAAACCCAGAACAATGCAGTTGGATTGGTTCATTTTCAGTCACCTGTTCCTTAACAAAAGTTCTTTCTTCTAAAATATGCAGCTCAAAAGCTGATGTCATTTATCAGCAATAAATATTGATAAGGAAAGGCGTATATATACACATACATATATACATACAACCCCAGAGTGAGGAGAACCTCTCACTCCTGCCTCTCTTCCTGAAAGATACAGGATTCTGCCTGGACAAAAGGTAATGTATGCAATGTTTAATTTCAGTATTAGAGACTTTATCCATACAGTCATTTGGTTGGTATTGATCGGGCACTGTGCTACAAAGGCTAATGTAGTTAATAAAGTTGTACCAAATGTGATAATTAAGAGAAAACATCTGTTTATAATAATTCCAGAGGAAAATTTTAAAAATAAATTGTATCTTCAGCTTAGAAAGCACACCTCTCACCCGTGTGGGTGAGAAAAGCCTTCAAGGAAGTCTAATTCCCATATATCTTTACACCAAAAAGTAACACTTCAATTAATTTGCTTTATTCTTCAAATTAATTCATTTTACAGAGGGCGGGCGATCATGGGAAATGTTTTTCTAATGTATTTTGAATTGTTTTTATGTTAAATTTATTTCACTTATAGTGTCGAGATGTACCATTACAGCTGAAATCAGAATTTTGCCATCTAGAAATGTTAAATTATCTGTCCAAGCTTCCAGGTATATATGCTGTCAAAATGTCTATTATATCTTATAGTATTGCAGTAAATTGATTGCATTTTTTTTAATGCAGAACAAATTCTTTTTTACAAAATGAGACTTAAAAATGTAAACTCAGAGAAAGTAGAAAAGCTTTTATCAAAGTAACTGAAAAGACAAACTTTCAAACTTGCTATACCCTGAAAGCTTTATCAGCTGGCAAGAAGAAGGCTCTGCTGAGGAGTGAAGCACCAGGGCTAAACATGAAAAGCCTGGACTGTATTTTTCAAATAGAACTTTGTTTCTATCTTCTGAGTTGCATATTTTAATATCTTTTCTTTACAGTCAATCAAATTTGCATGAAATGTCCTGTTTTCAGGCAGAGCTATCTAAAAGTGTGTTGATAGCATTTGTCTTTTCAGAAGCATAGAAATGATTTAGTGGATTGAATACTATTGACATGTAAGGATAATTGTACCTGGGAACTGTCATCTTTTGACTTTGAAAATAATGGCAAATATATTTACTCCAAGGAGCACATGTGGTTGTACAGTCTAACAATTGATGATATGTAGTAATATCAATAAAGTTTTATTCTGGAGCTATAAATGGGTTTATGTTTCCAGTTGCAGCACTTATCTGAGGAGTCCCAGAAAAATTTTGTTTCTGCATGTAAGGACAAGACAACTCCACAGTGGCCAAAAATATCCCTTTAGTTTAAGAATTTATTCTTCATCAATATGAGTGAGATCCCCTCTACCTCATGCAAGTGGTTCCCTTACACAGGTGTGGGAAAAGAAGCTGAAGTCTGAATACCTGAAAGACATGAAGTCTTTGATGTGATATGTCTTGCTGATTTATATCATGCAACAGAATCTAGTACTGAAATAAATGATCTACCTGCCATCTATCTAGTATCAGGAGCATTATACTCACCAGGAGTCACCAGCTCACACTCTCTTGATGTTTTCATAGGCTCAGTTAACCTTTTAGGAGTTAGCTTAGGCACAATGCCATCTTAATGTAATAATGAAGCCCACTGGATTCAAACTCACATCTCCACATGGCAGTGCTGTGCTACCTTTTTTGTTAGTATTGATTTGGAAATGAATACACCAAGCTCATTATTTTGTGAGTTCATGAAAGAATACCACATCTTGTGTGGAATAATTCAACAGTGTGTGGAGCTTTCAGTCTGAACTCAGACAGTTTAGTCTTGCACTGCTACCATGCAAGAGAAAACAGAACAGTGTTTTCATTTTTCTTCTTTGGCTTAATTTCTTAGGGGTAGGTGGAAACTCTGCATATCTGGGCATCTAAAAAAAATAAAGGACTTAACTTGTTCAAACAAGTGGCTCAATTGCCGCCTTCTGATATTTTGACTCGTAGCTTATATCTGTTCATTAACATTTTGCTGTGAATATTAGACCTAAGATCTTTTGGCTGTGTGCAAAAGTCACATGGTATATTTATGTTCTCTGGTTGATTGACATCCAATCTAGTAGAAAGTCTTGTAAAAATTATGTTTCTAGCTATGCCTATAGGTATTAGCATCTAAATTCAGAGGAAGTCACTCAACCTCAAAACTAAATGCTGCAAGAGCATCACTACAGCAAGTCTTTTACTGTAACACTGCACACTGTGACATATGCTGGTATACTCATACTGTGAACTAGTGTAGAATACTCATAAAATATGAACATAAAAAGGGTCTCAAACACACAGATGTTTGAAAACCTTGGTATTTTCCAGTGTTCTGGCTGGGTTTTCCCAGGTCTTCTCTCCTGATTGAATTTTGGTTGGAAATTTAGCCTCAAATTAGGGTTATAAGTGGACCTGCTTATGCCCAGTTACAGAGCAGGATATACAGAACTTGCTCCTCAGTGAAGACGAAAGTATCAAAGCTTCTGCACTATTTGTAAATGAGTCACACCAAAGCACCTGAGAAGACTAAAACTCTTTGTGACAACCATCATTATTCTTTTTATTATTATGTTCATTTTCCTTAGAATAAGCAGCAGCTTCTGACATGACAGATGTAAGCTGACTCATACACACAGGACTAATTAGTGAGTAAATCCACTAACTTCAGTAACATAAACCCTGTCAGAAGAAACACGTGACTTTAGGCTTTTTAAGGTCCCTGCTTCAATGCAAGGTAGAGTCCACTCTGTTCTAGATAGTGATGGCCATGCAGCATCATATATTCATTTGCACAGTTTCAGAATATCCAACTGTATTAGGTATTAACTAAAATAATGTTTTGCATGGCAGACTTGACTGCAACAGTTTTGTATCTCACTCACATACTACATTACACCACAAACTTCTATGCAACAGAAATTAATGGATTTGGGGTTTTGTTTTTGTTTTGTTTTTTCTCTGTAGAAATGGATCTACTAACTGCAATAATTTTCCTGGCTGCTTTGCTGCATCAATCTGATGGGCAGGTAAGAGCAATCATCTATTCAAAAGAACCATAACTGGACACATTGTATAGATATCTGACATGGGCTACTCTGGTCTAGTGATCTTTAAATCTTTACAATTCAGGGATGAAATTATTGTTAACACATTAATAGTTTTTCTGGGATGAGCTACCTGTGTCCTTGCCCTCTCCAGAATGTCTAGCTTAGATTGAAGCGTCTTCTTCTTAGACATTAAATGGAAAGAATCTTTTCCTGAGAGATGTTTTACTCTGAAAATCCCCATGTAAGTATTATAATTCTTTTTCTCTGCAAGGTTTCATCACCTGACATCATGATGTAAGAGACAGTCTTAGGTATTTCAGAAGATAGTCTGATAACAGTCCTAAGTTTTGATCCAGATTCACATTTTTCTGATGTTTACAAGTGAGAACAGCTAGGTACATTTTAGCCCACACAAAATGAGATTTTGGTTGAGATTTGGTTCCAGAGCTAAGCTTTCTCCCTGTTTGATGTGGAGACATCTGAAAGTAGAATTCTTACCTACAAATTTCATTTAGTGTGATGCCTCCTAAAGAAAAGTGCAGGAAACAACAGCAATTATAGAAATAGAAGAACCAATAAAGGGAAGTTGGGAATTTCCAAGATCTTTACTTTGACAAGAAGCTAATAATTTATCCTGCTTATTAAAGTGCTGATAACTGGAACCTTCATTGTAATTGTTTTCCAGGATGTAAAGTATAAACAAGTGGACATTTCCAGACTTACTCATTTTTCATTTCAAAACCAAAAAGAGATCCTTGAGCAACACAATGAAATACGGAGATCTGTAATTCCCACAGCCAGGAACATGCTGAAGATGGTAAGCTTGCTTTCCACATCATTAGCAGAAGATTGTAGCCTTCTAAACAACTCACACTCAGTGAACAGAGAGGGCAAGAAAGATGCTCTGAGGTTGAGATGAAGAAATTGGAATTCTATCCCTTTGTTTCTTCAGAATTCATGCTTAATTTTGCACCTCTTGGTGATAAAAGCACTTGTAGAGTCATTGCAAAGGTCTCAGGATAGGCCACAAGTGCTATACAGAATCCCTCTCCCAACCAAAATGTTTTAGTTTCTCCACTTAGAAAACTCAGTTAAGCAACATAGGAACTGTTCCATGACTAGGGTTATTTGTCTACAGGAACCACGAACACAGGTTCGCCCCAACCACATCTATTTTTTGTTCTCAAAGCTATGTTAACATAGCCTGCACATTGAACCACATGTTCTTGCCTTATGTTTGTTCATTGCAATATATAGCAACTGCAAGCCTTTTCAGTGAGAACATTTAAACCAGGGATAAGGTACAAAATGCAGTGACGGATCTCAGATTATGGATACCGCCTTTTAATCTTTAGTGGGATAAGCAGCTCCCTTAGAGAAAGACATGCCCTAAATAAAGAAAAGTGTGTAAAGCAAACCTGGAACAGGAGCATAAGCAGCTGCATGCTTTTGAATCACAGACTGTCAGGGGGGCAAAAAGGACCTAAATCTGCATACCCACTTGTCCTTAGCTGAGCTTGCTTCGTCCATCATTGGTCCCATTCCTGTCATCCCTGATACTCTTTGTTACCACTATCCCATGAGTAGATAATCTGGTCAGTGCTTTATGGTTAAGTTTGCATGGTGGGAATTGCAAACATTCCCCAGCTCCAAAGTCTAGCTGGTGTCTATCACTGCATCTCATCTGCAGTAGGGCTCAAAATCAGTTTTATACCATTTAGTGCACTGCACCCTGCAATGATAAACACAAACACAAAGCCAAAAGAAAGCAACAGTACGTTATGACATTCCTAGTAACCAGGACCATCTTGTTATTATAGTGTGGTGTGATACTGTGCAAAATAACCTGTTCTGCAGCCATTAAGAACTGAAGAAGTGTGGTGCCTATATCCCATTAGTGTAAAATTGCCTGACTCCCCTGTTTCTTATTGAGGACCATTTGGGTGCACAACACCCAAATCTCTCCTCTTTTTTTATCTTTTCATGTACTGCATTATCCTGCCTGTGACCTGGGTACTTCTTACTTTGTGTCTTTCAGGTGTGGAGTGAGAATGCTGCCAGAAATGCTCAGAAATGGGCAAATAGGTGTGAGATGAAAATCAGCCCAAAAGATCAGAGAATCATTAATGGTACATGACGAGTATGAATCCCAAGCTGAGGGGTTGATGGCAGTTTGCAGATGATCCCTGTGCATGTGAACTAGAAATAGGGATAACTTTTAATCTGCTGTAGACTATCTTTGTCATACTAATACCCTTAAAGGCAAATTGTTGGAACTGGAGAGAGGGGGATGCTAAGTAGTTACCCTATATTTGTACCTTTCTTGAAGTGTCTGCTTTTGGCTCCTGCTGGAGACAAGATGGCACAGTAGATGACTGTCGGTATGACTAAGTGCAGACATTTTTGTGTAACATTTTGCAGTGAAAGTTGTATCTGTGACTGGAAGCTCACCAAAACCATAGTAACATTTACTGCAGCTTTCAGAGGTGCAGTATGAATATCACATGGCAAATAGGTGGCATTGTAGAGATTTTTTTTTAGGTTGTAGCTACAACCCCTCTGTCCTACCTCCCACCCTACAGCTTGCTTTTCTCCTGAGTTATAAACAGACTTACTTACACTTCAGGTGTTACCTGTGGTGAGAACGTATTACTATCATCTTACCCAAGAACATGGTCTGAAGCAATTCAAGTCTGGAACAGTCAGTCCTCCAATTTCAAGTATGGATATGGAGCAGTCACGAAAAATGTCAATATAGAGAGCTATACCCAGGTATGGAGAACTGAAACAAACTGCAATGATACACTAGGGTTACAGGAGGACAGTTAATTGAGCTTCTCATCAGAAACAAAAATCATCGCTATCATCAAACCATTATCTCTATTCACACTCTGATCCAAAGATAAATTAAACTTTTTTTTCATCTAACTCTGAGACAATGAAACCAGTATTTTGGAAGAGCTGTCCAGAAGAGAAATATTATTCTGTAGGACAGAAAAAAAAAAAAAAAAAAAGGAAAGAATATCCATGGCTTTAATTTAGAAATACATATTTTTCTATATAAGGATTTAGATACTTAAGAAATGTCAAAACAAAATTTTTATGATGCAAATATTTGAATTTAAACTTTAGGGTCCTGCCAGAAACAGAGTTCAGAAACATTTGTAAACAAGAGGACACAGTTAACTCATTTTCTATTTATTCTTTCTGACAACTAAACTGTAAACTTAAAAGCTAACTAGACAAACAATATCCTGTGGTTCTGTTATTGTGTGAGTTCTTTATGAGAATTCAATAAAACGTGACTCTGAAATAATATGGTGTTTTTTTCCTACAGCTAATCTGGTACAACAGTTACCAGGTTGGATGTGCAGTTGCCTACTGTCCTATGAACCCCTTCAACTACTTTTATGTTTGCCAATACTGTCCTCCGTACGTATTGTCTTTTTACTCATTTAAGATGCAATAGTTACTAATATGTTTTCAAAAACTCCTGCAGTCATGTGTAGGATAAAAATACCACTGTTTATTTTAACCGTTTATAATTTTGAAAATACCAGTGGGAACTGTGGGTTTAACATCAGATTAAATATAAACATTTCTTATATTTCACAGATATTAGGCAAATTCTAGCATATGAAAAAAGGTCAGTCTCTATCACAATCAGGCATCATGCACAAATCATTTTATAACTCTGACCACAAGAAAGTCACAGGTAAAGTGAAAACCAACAGCAAATGAATATTCACAGAGGTAAAGAGCGTATCTGAAACACCCTGAATGTTGTCAGAATGTGTTTGCTGAGGTTATTTCCTTATAAGCTGCAATCATTTGAAAGCCATTCAAAAAGCAGAATTAGGAAGCACATAAAATTCTTTTTTTAAGCTGAGAATGCTATATAAATGCAAATAATTGATTAATTTTCTTTCCCCGAACTTTATTGTTCCTCTTATTTAAAATCAAAGTTCTTGTATTCTATTAATATCTGAAACTAAAACATGACTGACTATGAAAATAATTTTATCCAGAATCTTCTGGATGCCTTTTATTGTGACAAATAGCATAAACTCTTTTTAACGGTTCAGAGGCGCACTTTGATCTTGTTTTTCCAATTTCAGAGGAAATAATGCAATGCAAATAGCTACACCTTACAGAAGTGGACCAAAATGTGCAGAATGTCCTGGCCACTGTGACAGAGGACTTTGCAGTAAGTGAATTTATTCACCTCCTTATAACAAGTACCTCAATTAATAGTGTGTTCCTTTGTAGCATTTAACTTTTGCATAGTTACTTCTTGCTTATCTGGATGAAAGATCCTAGAACTGCCTCTTTCATTCCCTGCCCCCAGAAATAACAGTAGTTAAACATCCCTCTAGAATAGGCACATTCTTGAGTAGGGGTGTTGGACGAGTGGTCCCTTCCAACCTCAACCATCCTGTGACAACAGGTAAATGTGAAATTGTGTTGCTGTTGAGCAGTGGGTGCATTATCACACTCAATCTTCTGCTGCCCTCTCCTGGTAAAGCTCAAGACAGAACGTCTTGATGCACTTCTGCATCTAAGGGCACAGATTGTCACACATCCTCATGCACGTGAAGAGTTGCACAGGCCCCTGGCTTCTGCAGACTCCCACCTGGAGCAAGTCAAAGCATACAAATAGATGGGAATTGTAAGGTACCACCTTTCTGCCTGCATTCCCTTTTCTAAAATATTCAAGCAATTCTAGCAGAAGAGCATAAGCGCAAACTATCTAGACATACAAATGTAGAAATATTAGATCACAGCTTGGTTTTCAATTATTGTTTCATCTGTTTGTTTCTATCCCTTGTACTTTAGCCAATCCTTGCAAGTACCAAGACTTCTTTGGAAACTGCAGAAATCTGAAGATGTTGTTTAGTTGTAATCATTCACTGGTGAAGGCGAAATGTCCTGCTACCTGTGGCTGCACCACTGAAATCATATAATGTCCTGGTGGATGTCATTATAGCTGCTGTGAGACTTATTAGGAAAGAGTAGAGCTCACTGTGAAGTGTATTCACTCTCAGTGTATCAGCTCATGTTGACCTATAGGTGACATTTTTTTCTGATGTCTCACCATTACTTCAGTCCTAAATAAGTCTAGTAGCTCAAAATAATCTCTGATGTTATTTTAGGCTTTGTAGAAATCAAGCTACAGATGTGTTACTTTGTGGTTTCCCTTACAGCAAATCTTACACATTCATTTCTTCTTAATGGGACAAACACTTTTAAAACTCCTTGTGTCTTTTGCAAAATATGCTAAATCACACATAGCTTTCTTCTGTTACTTTTTCCTTGATTATAAATGGAATGTATTCCAGCTAAATAAATATGTGATTTACCACTGCTTCATAGTTTTTCACTGAAATTATTTATAATTCAATGTTTTCATTTATGAATATTTCAAGCCTCTTTTTTTGATACTTTATCTGAGTGGGGATAAGACAGGAAAAGACAAAGCAAAAAGTGACACATTGTTTTGTACAGCCAAATAAGAGGCACATCTTGAATCTGCCAACTTTTCTCTGTGCCCTAAATACAAATTTTCTGATACATCTGTGTGTGCAGGTGATAAATTATAATTTTTTTTTCATATGGCACAGTCAAGAAATATAAAGCCTTTTTAAAGCATTCATACAAAAAAAAAGCGGTATATATGTATTGCTTCCCATCCTCCCTATGAATAAGTTAAATCCCACATTTGCTTGGAATTCTCATTGTAGCATGTAGAAAAATCCCAAACAAATAATAATAAAAAAAAATGGCAGTAGATCCAAGTTTCCCCAAGTCTCCATCAAAATATCTGATTTTCTCCAGAACTTCCCAGGAACCATTTTAGTGCCAGCTCCTAGCGGTGCACACCCTTAGGGTTTCTCCAAGAGGATTAAGTTCAGCTGAAGGCCTCACTTGTGCCTTCTCCCACTTCTTCCTACAAGCAGGCCACCAATTCGTGCCTAGGACACCATGTTTGCTTGTGTATTGCTTCTAGCAATGCATTTCCTTGAATGAAGTTTTTCATTTCAAATCTTTCCAGGCCCTTTACAATGCAGGGCATGACTTCAAAGGGCTGTGTGTCTGTACTGACCCAGAACTGAGAGAACAGTATGTCAGAATCATCTTATAGCTTTAATATGTATATACCAGCTTTTATTTGATCTTTATATTTGTAATTTAATCAACAGGTAGCTGAAGAGGGAATAGAAAGTCTTTGCTTACAGTTTATAAACTCTGATAGATGTTAAAAAATGAACAAACATCTGGAACAGCATCGTCCTACTGAACAGAGGAGCTACTTCCCACTAACTTTCCTCCTGACACATCTCCCCGGTGTTGCATCCTGGTGCCATGCACCCATGTGCTGGACCACAGACCTCCTTCTGCTCCTCAAGATGTGTGCTGGTCTCTCATAGATCCTGAATCACATATAGTATCTCTGAGCAGGGCTGATTCTACCTAGCACCATCCCTTCATATTTCACACAGGCAAAAGCAATTTTCTCCGTGGGACTGCAGTTCTGGTTAAAAACACAAGAGGGTGAACCATACCCAGACATTCAACTGCAGCAGTTTTTGATTTTGCTGCCTCCTCCTTTTACTAGAAATTAAAGTTCTGGGCCTACCCTGGCCTGATTTTAACACTTACCTGCACAGAATTTCTTAGCTGATACTAGCTAATAAATTACTACATATAGGAACTGTTTGGTAGCTGTTTCTTCCCCTCATTTCATTCTGTCTCTGTTGGCCAAATTGCTATCATATTAAAGCAACTTATGCCATCAAATTAAGCCAATTTACAGTTTCCAGGGTATCAATGGCTAGTTCTGGTAGCCTTGATTTTCTGCTTGCCTGAAGCTCAGTTTCAACACTGTGACTTATGTACCACTATTTGCGGCTCCTTACAACCACAGCGATATTTGTAGAAAGTGTAATTCAAAAAAAAGCTGGGTGAAAATTTTCAAATAAAGTTATGTTTTCCTCAGAAAATATTATTCTGTAAAACTGCAGTTATCTTACAGGAGGATACATATTTCTGGCAAAACTTTCAGGTGTTTTGGGGAATGTTTTCCAAGATTAAATTTCTGCTAACAAAGATATGGGTTTTAGAACGCTTTCCATGCACACACTTTCTCTTTCCTTCCACTCTTTTTTGGGTCAATGAATGTTTAAAGGTGAATTATTTTATCATCAGAGATTTCTGAGAGCACTCCCTCCCAAGACAGCATTGTCCTCTGGATATCCAGTTATGGTGTTTGAGAATGGCAGCAGCAGGAGCTGGCAGAGATCTTCTGCATCATGAAGTGATGCACTACCCTGGAGCTTCATGCACCCTGCTGGACTGCTGCAGCGTGTCCAGGCATTAAGCTTAATTCCATAAGGGATTTCAAAAGATTCTGCTACCCTATTGATGTGTAATAGAAGAAGTAGCAGGTGAGATGAAAAGTTTACTGGATGATCCGGCCTCTCAATACAGACTTCAAGGAGAGCTTGAGTCACTCCAATTAGTTGTACATGGAATACTGTGTGTAGTTCTGGTGTCTTCAACATAAGAACATGGAGCTGTTGGAGCAAGTTCAGAGGGCACCATAAGGATGATAAGGAGATTGGAGCACCTCCCGTATGAAGACAGGCTGAGAACATTGGGACTGTTCATCCTGGAGTGGAGAAGGCTGCGTGGAGTCCCCACAGCAGCCTTAAAGTATCTGAAGGGGGCCTATAAGGATGCTGGAGAAGGACTGTAGTGATAAGACAAGGGGTAATGGGTTTAAACTTAAACAGGGGATGTTCAGATTGTATGTAAGAAAGTTCTTTACTGTGAGGGTGGTGAGGCACTGGAATGGGTTGCCCAGGGAAGTTGTGAATAGCCTGGCGGTGTTCAAGGCCAGGTTGGACAGGGCCTTGGGTGAGATGGTTTAGTGTGAGGTGTCCCTGCCCGTGGCCCAGAGGTTAGAACTAGATGATCTTAAGGTCCTTTCCAACCCTAACTGTTCTGTGTTTCTATAATTCTATGATCCTATGTCCCTGGAAAGGCTGAGATGTTTCTGAAATATGAGTTTCCCATATACAGATGAGGTAAAAGTGATATGATCGTCACTGAGATCCAGCATGTCGAATAACATTTTTCTCCATTCTCTGAATGTATTTTCGCAAACTTACTTTTTATACTTATGCCTTAAGAGTTGTTTCCATTGTGGTACTAGAGTATGATTTTTGGTATGTGCTGAAGTGACACGTACAGAATTGTGCTACTTTTTAGGTGCAGTTCAGGCAAGGAGGTAGTAATACAGAGAAATTTTTACAATTTCTGTTCTGGTTCCAGGTATGCTCACGAGAAGCACATATGCTGAGAGTTGATAAAAACAACTACTATGGTACAAGTCCAAGTCTTATCTGTTGAGAATAAAAGTTCTTCAGCAGTTAACTCACATGACAAAGACTTTAAACACAGACTTTTGAACAAATGTGATGTAGTAACTTTAACAGTCTTATGGCTTGTGAAGAAAGAACATTTTTGATATTTTAAATGTGCCAACTCCAGTAGTCACATCTAATTTGGCTGCCTGAGAATCAGCCTCTCGGCTGAGCAAAACTAAAGGTCTTTCAGCATCGCAAAGTCTTACCAAGAGCCTAAATATTACCTGGTTTTCTCCATCTATTGGAGAAAAATTCTTCCATAAATCTTACCTTACTCATGTCCTTAAAATACCATACCTACAATAGCAAAAGTTTAAGCAGCTAAAGCTAAGACTTCATGCTAAATAGAAAACAAGAGTTGGAAACCTTGACATGCCATTAGAAATTTATGTTGTCAGAATAGCCAATTAATGCCCAAGAAACAAAACTGTGCAAAGATGCTTAAGCAAGACCAAGCAACAAAAGGTCATCAGAACAGAGACAGGACAAGGATGCTCCCCTGGGCTGCTCCTGACTCTTCTAAGCCAGGTTGCCAAAAATTGGATTCCTCTAAGTGTAAGAGCCACAGTTAAACTATGACAAACAGGAGATGATCTTCCTTATTAAGAAGCTACTTGACAGCTACTGTCACCGCTCCAGGCTGCAAGATACATAACCTCCATGCTTCAGTCTCACCGACTGCAACACAGAGATAAACTGACACAGTCAGGGCAAGGAAGATTAATTAGTGAACACTGAGAAAGAGCCTATGAAGCACTAAGACCTGTTAATTATAATATCACATTTGGTAGCCACACCTCCAGCATAATGATATCTCAGTTTAACCACAAGTCAAGAGGACATGGGGCAGCAGGAGATATAAGTGAGGAAATGACACTCCCTCCTGCGCCAACCCACTGGTGATGTCTGAAGGTTCATGGGCTGGTCAATAGGCTCAGTTGCCTGGTCTTGATCCTGCACAATGCAGTCATTGAGCTGTTCCCTAGGACTAACAGATATTCTGACACCCACATCAATAACAAGTCTTGAAGAAAGGCAATTTTTAGGAGAAGTTGAAGTAATAAGCTGGCATGGAAATACTCTCACTTACGTTAAGAAAATGGCCCGTGTTAACTATCCATTATGTCACTGTTGTGCTCAATACATGCGTAACTGAAAATGACTCCTTAAAATGATTATTGTCAGATTTTGGGGCTTTTCCACAGTAACAGAAATGATCATTTCAAATTAAATTACATTTTTGTCTTTCTGTTTTGCATCATTTGCTCTGCTTTCTTCTCTTATTGAACTTCTGCATAAAGTGATGGAAGTAAGGGAGAAAAACCCAAGATGCCAAACTAAAATCAAATTAAGGCCTTTATTTGTTTTGTTGACAATTTTTTAATTAAATACAAGATTTTTTAATCTTATTCATTGACTTTAAACTACCAATTTTTATCTTAGGGCATGCATAAACATTCACTTATCTTCTTTTAAAAGTCCTTTCCCAATGCAAAATTCTAAAAACCTATACTGAATATAACAGTGAAGTATACGTTAAACCATCTTATTTTTATTTAGTGGTACACAGCATTCTTTGTGCAGGCATATATGATAACTCAGAATTCTCACAGAGTGATTCCTGAAAGGTCAGAAGCTGTTTATTTTGGCAAAAATTGAAACTTAGCCATTGTCATTTTTGCACAGGATTGAAACACTGAGGAGTAAGGGAGAATTTCTAAGCTTTACTGCTTCTAAAACACAGAAATTACACAAAACCATTAATTTGAAAGCAATAATAGCTTCAACTCTTGTGCAGATGTGGCTGTGCAACTCTGGTCTTATGATGGAGAAGACTTTCCTTCCTCACCCAGCAATGTATCAGAAAACATAAAAATATCTGATTTTTTTTTTTTAATTAGACTTCTAAATTAGTGCTTTGTTTTTATGAGTAGCTCCTGT